TTTTTGTAGTTTGATTAAAAAGCGTTTAAAGAGAATTTTTTTTGATTCCTTTGTTAGAAGAGTTACTTTAGTTAAGTAGAAAGAAGCACGTTGGGTTTGAGTGAGTGGTTGAGTTTGAATTGTTGGTTTAAGTTTGATTGAGTATAGAAGTTGTATGCAAGTTCTGTGAATTAGTTTATCTTTGAATAGAGCAGCTTTTGTATAGTCTGCTGCATGTTTAGAATCTTGTAAGTATACGCAAGAAATGTTTTTATTTTTGCATAAAATACAAGTATAGTAGTGTTGGGAGTGTGAAGTGATTTCAGATGGAGTAGGGTCAGTTTGAAAAAGTGGAAAGAGGATTTTGGGATTAGGAAGATCTTGTTTTTTGAGGATAGGATCTGATACTATTAATTTGGACTTCTTCTATACCAAATACCCTAGTAGCTTTGGTATTGCTTTTCTCGAAGAAAGTTCAACTACTCTGCATCCAATTTCTGCAAAAAGCATACCTTTAGCCTGTGTTACTAAGATTCTCTGAAGTGATAACAAGGCTACTCACTTTATCAAAGCTCCTCCAACTACTGCTACTGCTTTCTGTCTTTGTAATAAATATCATACCAAATTCATTACTACTAGCAACAAACCCTTCAAGCCAGTTCATACTGACTTTATTCCTTTTGTTGCTAATACAAAAAAAAAACAAAAATACTCAAAAAATGCTACAAAGCATCGCTATATTAACTGATAATATCCCTCCTTCACCTACTTCAGTTATCCATCAACATACTTGTCAAAAATGTCAACAACCAATTGCATGTAAAGTTGCAAACAACTAACATAAGCTTAGTAATGATGCAACTTTCCGAAATAATGCAGTCTATCATTATACTTGCTTAACATCTGAAGTTGCTGAAACTTCTACATCAACTAGCATCTATACAACATCCTCAACCTTTCCAATGAATTATGCTGCAACTAGAAAAAATCTTTTAACAACATTTCAACAAAACCAAACAAATCCTCTTATCTCTTCTAATACTTTAACAACAGCCTTACCTATTACTCAATTAGAAATCACATGTTCTACTTTAACAGTATCTATTCCTACAAATAATACCTCTTCAAATATGGAAATTGATGTCCCTACAACTCTAATAACTGAAACTGAACAACTAAACTTATCTCCCAAAACTCTCTCATCAACTAATACTAATACACTTCTGTTTTATTATCACCAACTATTCAACAAACTAATCTAACTACTGAAACTTTAACTACAAACTCTTTTCAAAATATAGATATCGATAGCTCTTTACAACATTTAGATAATTCTACTCCTATTCTCAAAGGAAAAAATAAAGAGATAAATACTACATCAACTAGCAACTCAACAAAAACATCTAAAATTCAAACAACACAGCCTAAAGTACTTTTTAACTGGCTTAAACATTTTCCTATTACTGAGGAAATAAAAAAAATTAAAAAACTTGAAACTCCTTTATCTTTTCAAGTCTTTGAATTTCTAAAAAACTATTTATATAATTTTACTCCAGGTAAAGAAATTAAACCAGCAACAACAAGCCAGAAAGCTCTTAAAACTAGCTTTTATAATGCAATTTAGACTATGGCTGGTCAACATCCAAAATTCTTAACTAACTTAATATATACTTCAAATCCAACTATCAGTAGAGAAGCTACAATTCCTTTTGAAATATTGGAATCAACACTCAAAAAACTGATACATAAATTTACTACAATTCTTTTTACCAAAATGAATTATGCTGAAATATTTGCATTATCATTAACTATTTCATCACATATGAACAAAAACCGTATTCATCTTTGCCTTAATATAGCAAGGATTTATTTATATCTCAATAAAAACTATGAATACCAAACAATTGATCACATCAAATTTGCTGAGGACTTCCAACTCAGACCCAAAAGATTTGTAGTCTCTTCATCTACTGTCAGTACTGACAAAAAAGAATCCTATCTTACAATTAAATATGACAAAAAATTCAATATTCATCTTCTTTTTAATTTACCTAAAACACTCTTTCTTGAAAAATTTAATATTCCTTCTCTCAAAAATTTATTGAAGCATTTTAACCAATGGTTTGAAGGATTCTTTACAACTTATGATCATCAATTTGATGAACTCCTAAACAAAACTAAAGTTCAAAATGCTTTAAAATATCAATTCCGACAACAATTTATCTCCCAACTAACAAAACTTCTACCTGAAAAGTACGATATATCAGAACCACAAATATTTCAGAAAAGAAGAGATGAAAGTATTAGATATGCTAACTTTCATATTTTAACATGCAAGGACGAAGAATGTATACTTCTCACTGAAAAACAATATGATTCTCTAATATTTTTAAACAGGCATTAGAGTACTCCTATGAACTTTACCCTAAAAAAGATAATGAAATTTAGAAACAGCCAACTTTCAATGACTTTCCTTTCGAAAAAAATGAAGAGCATGAAGCTACCTTCAAAAAACCCATTCCTACTCAATTGCTCGATAAACTTGCTGATCAAGCAGAAAAAGAAGTATGCGAATTAAATAAAGTAGCAACAAATACTAGATGTCGAAGTTACTACTTTTACAAATTTCTTGAACTATATCACGAAGTTGCACTTCAAAATTCTAAACTTGAAGACTTAACAAAGCAACAAGTTATTGACAAGCTACTCACAGAAGTTGTTGATACCTTTATGCTAGCAAGGATCATTACTTACTTTGATGTTATCCAAAACCAAACTACATCATATTCAGATATTGTCAAATATTTTAAAGACAAAGCATATCCTTCAGCTGACAATATAAT